CAGCTCACCTGTTAATTAGATGGGCGGAGCTTCCAGGTAAGTGGATTCTTTGTTTTATCTGAGTTACTCATGAGGGGGATGAAGTCAGGTGGATTCTGTTGTTACTTTAATGGATTCAGAGGGAAAAAAGCTGAGTACAGTCTGAGTTTGTTGTTCAGAAGCAGATTAGTGGAATAAAATATTACATATTTGTATAATGAAATAATTAATAAATATATTTTTTGATAAAAACTTTTTGGGTAAAAATAAGACTTTTTTCATGATTCACATATTTTTTTAATTAAACTTTTAATTTTAAAAAAATATATATTCTTGACTGAAATAAACAAAGATCACTTTTTTAAAATTTATAACAATATATTTTTTGGTAAAGATGATAATAATTCACACAACGAGACGAGAAAATATCCTGTCAAAAGATGAAAACTTTGAAAGGGCCAGAGTGAATTTAATAACTGTAGAACTCAATTTGCCGTCTGTCAACGTCTGTAACGTCTCAAACGTCATCAAGCCACGTGATACTCGGATATAAAATAAAAAAAAAACGTTTAACGTTTCCGGTTACACTCGGGTATAGCCGATGTAGCCGACCCGCCAAGTAGTAGCTCAATTTGCAATTCCAGATCAGCGTGTTGACGATCTCGCTGAAATGTTGATGCCCAAAATTCTCTCTTTGGGTCTCATACTACTCTGTTGTTTCGGAGTAGTAAACGGTGAGTGTTTGTGCCTTTGTGTCGCGGCTCAAACTGGTGTTTTTTCCCATGGCTGAAGCCGTTACGCTAGCTGTGGCGACTAGCCGTTAGCTCAAAAAAACGACTCCACCTGCCGTTTGTTCTTATCCAACTACTGCAGCTTTTATATTATGTTTACTCGGCTCTGAATAGTCGCTGTGGTTTTTGCTTGTCTGTAGTGAATCTGATGGCGTTAACGAGCCGGTCAGGCCATGTGCCACAAGGTTAAACACCACGAGGCTAAACGCCACAAAGCTAAATGCCACGAGGCCTCAACGCCACAAAGCTAAACCCCTCGATGCTAAACGCCACGTGTCCACTTCCGCGTCGTCCTTCCTGCTTATTTACACGTAGACGACACAAAAAACTTCCATTTCTAGAAGGACGAGAGCATAAGAATGTGTTTTGTTTTTGGAAAAACATTCCTGGACTGACTGAGGGAACTTAAAGGTTAAAGTTTGAATTAAGTTAAATCTAAAGGAAATGGCCTTTCGGCCCCGAAGAGGCTAAAGCTAAGCTAAGATAAAGCTAAGCCAAGGTCACATAACTCCCTTTAAGGCAGCAGCTGGGGGGTCACATCCTGTTTGTGGTTGGTTTAGTCTGTGCCAGTTTCATCATGAGAAAAAAAGTTCCTAATGTTCCTAAAATACAAAATTCCTAAAAGTTTCCATATTTTCTGGGCTCACAGATCCAGGAGTGGAGATAAAGCCCAACGAGAGGGTCGTGGTCATCTGTGTAAACCGACCCCCGCCTGAGCATTTAATCATTCTGATGATTCAGGATGAGGTGAGTCAAAAAGGGATTTTCTCTACATGTGCTTCCCCCTTTTTTGTCTTTATTTCTCTAATCTTATTTGTTTCATAGATCTTTCTCCTCCAGACCGTCCAGGTTGACCCCCCCCTCCTTCCTAATGGGGAACACCTCCTGCTTTGAGAAGACCCTCAGACCACCAGGAATCTCTCTGGATTGAATAAATTTTAAGTATTAAAAACTGCCGTCTCCAGATTCTTTTTTTAGAAATATCCCGAATTGGTTAGTAGGTTGTTTGTCATGCTAACAGAACTACACACAGGACGTTTCCAGATGGGTATTTGTGTGTTCGCGCTGTTTTGGATGTGAGGAAGTGACCCGGTTTGGTCACTAGGTGGCACTGTTTGTGGCAGCACAGTTAAACCAGTTCACTCGATGGTTCTGGGATTTAAACCAGGTAGGACGCCGTGTTCACCTTCCTTTCCCCTTTCTTTTTTTTTTGGAAGAATTTTTTTATTATTTTTTCAGAAATAATACAGTGTGGTACGAATGCACATGTGTATTTTTACACTTTTAAACATAAAAAACAAAACACAAACAACAGGGTGATTTCGAGAGTATGAAAGGTAAAAGTTCCAGACTTTGAGAGTTGGAAAAAAACAAACAAACAAACAAACAAACAAACAAACAAAAACATCATTGCATTATTAGTGGTACGACAGGTCTCCAACGTTTAGTGAATATGGGTATTCGTAGTCTCAGAAAACGTCAAGGAGGGGGATCTTGATGGAGTACTCAGGCGCGGAGATGCAGAAAACCGGGTTTATTGTAACAAAAACAGGTTCAAAAACAGGGCTGTGGCAAAACTTTGAGCAAAGTAACAAAGCAAGGTTAACAAAACTGTGGCAAAGTATCAAAACAAGACTATGGCGAAAGTACAAACGAGATTAACATGGCTGTGGTCAAACAAGGCTATGGCAAAGTAACAAAATAAAGATTCACAAAACTGTGTCAAGGCTGTGGCAAAACATGGCTATGGGAAATAATCAAAACCTTACATGACGTGGGGAGACGCAAGACGCAAATGAACTGGCACAAGACATGGGAAACGAGGACTATTTAAACACATGAGGGAGGGGAACCCCAGGTGAACACAATAGGTAATCAAGACATGACGAGACACCAGACATTCCCCCAGACGTGACAGAGAATATGTTATCTGTTCCATTTGGTATATATCCCAGACCTTCTGAATCCATATATTGTAGGAAGGAGGCTCAGGTTTGAGCCATCTGATAGTTATACATTTTAGAGCAGCTGTTAATAATATATTCAAAAGATATTTTCCATCTCGTGTAGTAATAGTTGTAGGTGTTACTCCCAATAAGGCAATGTCTGTATTGAATGGGATTTCCTGTTTGAAGATTACTTTTAGGGCATAAAAAATGTCTTTCCAAAACAGATTTCATTTAGGCCATTGCCAAAATATGTGTGTGTGATTAGCATTATCAGTTCCACATTTTCTCCAACATAATCCTGAGTACATCGGTCCCATTTTAGCCGATATAGCTGCTGTTCTAAAGAATCCAGTCACAACTTTCCATTTGAATTCTCGCCGAGTGTTTGAATTTGTGACAAGGTGTCACTCCGTACATATTTCTTCCCAAATTCGTCTCATGTATTCATCGAGGTCTCTGCTTCCCATCTTTGTTTAAAATGTAGTGAGTTACAAGTACTTAGAGACAAAAATATATCATACAGTTTACCAATAATTTTTTTGTCTTCATTGACCACTTGTTTAACAAGAAATTGTTCTATAGGGTTGGAATGTAATATTTTTTCCCAGTCTTTATGAGACATTAGAAATGATCTCAGTTGCAAATATTTTAAAAAGTCTATGTTGGGGAGATCAAACTCAACCTTTAGTTTCTCAAATGTTTTAATATTGCCATCTTTGATCAGTTGATATTGGTATGTTAAGTTATATTCTGTCCATTTTTTAAAGCCATTATCCAATACGTTGGGGAGAAAGGTTTTTATTAATCCAATGTTTGTCAATGGTGAGAGATTCTTGGGCAGTCTGTATGATGACCGTATTTTATTCCAAATATTAAGTGTATGTTTAGTCCAACCAGTCATTTCTTTAACTTGAACATCTAAAAATGGTAATTCTTGTAAGGGTTCTGCACATTTGCTATTTTCTATGTTTAACCATCTCGTCGTTTCATCATTTTGGATCCAAGATAACAGCCTTTCCCCTTTCTGACCCAGTTCAGACCCGGTTCAGACCCACTTCAGACCCATCTGACTCAGTTCAGACAAATCAGTCCCAGTTCAGACCCAAGTCCACCAGGACCAGATCCACCAGGCAGCTGAACAGGTTTTCCCTCCAGGCCTCCTCCCTCTTTAATAAGGCAGTTCATCCCTGCTGACACTTAAAGACGCAGACGCCGAAAAACACCTGAACACATCACAGGTCACCTCTCCTCTGACCTTTGTCCAAATCTGTTGTTTTAACCATTTAGCCATGGATACCAGGGCGGATTCCTGTGTGCATTTGGTTGAATAAAAGCGATTTCTGCTTTTGATTTCTGAGTTCAGAGAACATTTAGGCCTGGAATCAGAGGAATCTCTAAACGAGAAACTTACATGGCAGTGATCTGTGAAAAGGAACACCCAAATGTTCAACATTCATACCGATCAAACTGGTTTCAGTATCAGCCAGGACTATATAGGATGTAGGAATACTTTCTGAAACTAGTTCCTGCATTGATGCCGGCTCACCAGCTCTTCTGGAGTAACTTTGGATTTATTTACTCTTTTCAGTGTTTTTCTGACTCTAACTTTAAAAGAACTCTTTTATTCCTCACAGTTTTTACAATGGGGGATTCTGAAAGTCGTCTGGTTGGAAATCCAGTGTTAAAACTGGCGCCAATGTGGAGATTCCTCCACTCTAAACGGAAATTTGGTGTTTTAATTAAAGAACCCTCAGACAGCTTCTGTCCACTAACTTTTCCAGCCAGTTAAAGCTGGATTTTTCTGGCTCTAAAACTCAGTCAAAACTGGATTTTTCTGTCTAAAAAACTCATTCAGAACTGGACTTTTCTGGCTCTAAAAATCAGCCACAGCTGGATTTTTCTGATTTCATAACCAGTTCCAGTTTGCTGTCGTGTCAGACTTTCAGCTCACCTGTTAATTAGATGGGCGGAGCTTCCAGGTAAGTGGATTCTTTGTTTTATCTGAGTTACTCATGAGGGGGATGAAGTCAGGTGGATTCTGTTGTTACTTTAATGGATTCAGAGGGAAAAAAGCTGAGTACAGTCTGAGTTTGTTGTTCAGAAGCAGATTAGTGGAATAAAATATTACATATTTGTATAATGAAATAATTAATAAATATATTTTTTGATAAAAACTTTTTGGGTAAAAATAAGACTTTTTTCATGATTCACATATTTTTTTAATTAAACTTTTAATTTTAAAAAAATATATATTCTTGACTGAAATAAACAAAGATCACTTTTTTAAAATTTATAACAATATATTTTTTGGTAAAGATGATAATAATTCACACAACGAGACGAGAAAATATCCTGTCAAAAGATGAAAACTTTGAAAGGGCCAGAGTGAATTTAATAACTGTAGAACTCAATTTGCCGTCTGTCAACGTCTGTAACGTCTCAAACGTCATCAAGCCACGTGATACTCGGATATAAAATAAAAAAAAAACGTTTAACGTTTCCGGTTACACTCGGGTATAGCCGATGTAGCCGACCCGCCAAGTAGTAGCTCAATTTGCAATTCCAGATCAGCGTGTTGACGATCTCGCTGAAATGTTGATGCCCAAAATTCTCTCTTTGGGTCTCATACTACTCTGTTGTTTCGGAGTAGTAAACGGTGAGTGTTTGTGCCTTTGTGTCGCGGCTCAAACTGGTGTTTTTTCCCATGGCTGAAGCCGTTACGCTAGCTGTGGCGACTAGCCGTTAGCTCAAAAAAACGACTCCACCTGCCGTTTGTTCTTATCCAACTACTGCAGCTTTTATATTATGTTTACTCGGCTCTGAATAGTCGCTGTGGTTTTTGCTTGTCTGTAGTGAATCTGATGGCGTTAACGAGCCGGTCAGGCCATGTGCCACAAGGTTAAACACCACGAGGCTAAACGCCACAAAGCTAAATGCCACGAGGCCTCAACGCCACAAAGCTAAACCCCTCGATGCTAAACGCCACGTGTCCACTTCCGCGTCGTCCTTCCTGCTTATTTACACGTAGACGACACAAAAAACTTCCATTTCTAGAAGGACGAGAGCATAAGAATGTGTTTTGTTTTTGGAAAAACATTCCTGGACTGACTGAGGGAACTTAAAGGTTAAAGTTTGAATTAAGTTAAATCTAAAGGAAATGGCCTTTCGGCCCCGAAGAGGCTAAAGCTAAGCTAAGATAAAGCTAAGCCAAGGTCACATAACTCCCTTTAAGGCAGCAGCTGGGGGGTCACATCCTGTTTGTGGTTGGTTTAGTCTGTGCC